GGTCCCGATGGAGAGCCGATGGAAAGCTCTTCATCAGAGCTAAACTTTTTTTTTAAATTTCTGAAGCTCCTATGTTGAATAGCTTTTCAGTTCTAAGCATGTTTGTATGTCCAGACACCCTGTACTCAGGTGGAGCCCCCTCTTCAAATATGGGGTCTATCGTAAAACTGTTGGCACAGTGTAGGTCAGACACATTTACATTCCTGCCAAATTTCACGTTGATCGGTGCAGCCATAATATGGTTGACCAAAAATCACTGAAAAAAATAAAATAAATTAAAAATAATTAAAAATAAATAAAAAAAAGCACGAAAACAATATGACCCCTGCTTCCCATGCAGGGGTCATAATAATTTTAACGAACTAATTACAAAACAATGCTCAATTAGAGCTAATTTTTCTTCATATATTTAAAACTTAATTTCAACATTTACTTGGGAATGTAACTGTGGTGCTAAATATTTTCCTAATACTTCCTTTGTTTTTCTACGGACAGAGTCCATAAGCCAGTCAGTTTTGTTTAAAGCAACTTTGGTTGGGTTCTTTCAATGACTTCAGTATGCAGGGTAATGCAAAATTACACAACGCAAATTGAAGAAATTATTGGGGTTTATGTTACATACTGACTTTAATTACACTACACACGGTATAGTTTGTTTTATGATAGAACTGTAACGACTGTTAAATGTGACTTTTGCTTAACTGGATGATTCTATRTTATTAGCTACATGCCTGGGAACAATCCAGCACATAACTGAAGTTTTCAATTCTTCATTAGAGTAGGTTTGAGAAGCATGGCTTTGACCGAATGACAGGGTCCCACCACTGATGATGCAATCAAATAGGCGGAGCCATGCCCTGAAGCTCTTTGATAAAACTAGATGGACTTCCTGGTTCTCGGCCTTATCTCTTCGTCACTCGAATAAAACAGATCAGCAAAGAGTGCTCTTTGGTTTTGTATGGTTTCCTCTTAACAATTCTTTCCATGCATCCGCACATTTGTCGTATKGTTCAGCACACATTCTGGAAACGAACACAAACAACTCTACTTTCTTTCAGGTTCATAAAATACCATTCACATGAACAACTATGAACATTTTGTGACTGTGTTATTTTAAAATGGAAGTGATCCATTTAGGTTTTAGTCCTATTTGGAGAGACTGTTAGCTTATTTAGTCAGAAATCATTTATTTCTACAGGCTGAGGTCGGTCAAAAGGCTTTCTACAGCAGGTAAGATGATTTCTCTCCAAAGAACCTCACTTCAAAAGAGCTGAACATTCTCTGTAACAATGGGTGTCATCAGAWACAGAAACATGCCGCTCATGTGAASGAATGAACAGTCTGCAAATTATCCACMCCATCTCTGGTTCTCTTGGTCATAAAGAAAGAGTCACAAATGAAAAAAAGGGAAGATTTTGTTTTTTGTTTCTTTTAAGAAGAAGAAGTAAGGAAAAACTGAGATTGCACAACAGAACTACAGGAAGCCAAACTGGTGTGAAGAAAGATAACAGTCGTGTTGCCAGAACAAACCTGCTTCCCTGTGAAACCTTGGCAGATGACCTTCGTGTTCTTATTGATGTAGAGGTTCTGTCTTGTTCCTGTATAACAGTGTCTAACTCCACTGTGCTGCACTGAAGGGGTGAAAAAGAAGAGGAGAAGCAACACAAGCAATCAGTTGAAACATAAACACACGGGCTAATTTCAATCATCAAAATTTTACACGTTCACAACTTGGGAAGCATTTTAGTGTTGTGTTGTGTATAAAACTGGTTATAAACTTCAGTACCATAACATCTCAAAAAGGTCAAAAATGTAACAAAATACAATTTTTCTCAACCTTCCAAATGTCATTCATTTCACAGTCAATAGTAATAAAACATTTACACTCTTCTTTGAGGACATTGGTGTCTGTCAGCTCAGCAGCTCTGCATTGTTTTGGCAGACATGTCTTGCACTGTTGCTGAGCCACACTGTCTGCTTTCCCCAGACTTGACCACTACCTTTTACAGAACATGTGACCAAAAACACTCCTGTGAATTGAAAGGCACACCAAGAACACATTTAAATTTTTGCTTAAGTGGTGGGGTCCTTCAGATGTAAAAAAATAATAAAAACAAAACTGTAGAAACTAAACAAATATATGTTTGAACATCTACACAATCTCCTGCGACACAAAGATTTACTCAAGCTCATTTCAATATCACATGAAGTTCAGATTTTGTTTCCAGCTGATAGAAAATGTATTTCACWTATCCAATACTTAGACATATCTCTGCACACATCTCTCTGTAGTGATGAACAATTAATGCAACAAATGAGACAGTACTGATTCTATCAGAAGGAAAAAATATCTAGCTGCTGCCTAAAACTTCACATTCATATGATACTGATAAAAAAACACAACACTGATCTCCATCATAGCTTATAACAAATACATTTGCTGCAACCCTGCAAATTTCTATTGTATAGCAAAGAGATATTAATAGAACTGGAATTATAAAATAAACATTTTGCTGAGTGATGACAACGTGTTTGACAAAAACAGCATTAATATGACTGAAGTAAATTTGTCTCTGAAAATTTGAATGATACCAATTGTTCAGTTGTTGCAGACAGGAAAAGCATCAGAACTAAGCCTGTTTATTATGTTGCTGTACCAGAGATATTTTGACACCCCAATTAATTAATTAATTTTTAATTATAGAAGTATAGAACCAAAACCATGTAACATAGGAATAAAAAAATAAAAATAAAACAAGCTGCTAACAATAAAATGAAATAAGGCTGGACGGCGATGACAGGCAAACTGTGTTCTTGGAGCTGAAAAGATTTAAATCTCTTCCCAAAACAACCAAGTTTAGTGTCAGAAAACAGCACCTACTGCAACCCAACACCTTGAACTTTGCTCTTCAGTCTCACATATGGCTGAGCATAATCTCTGTGCAAAGTTCAATTCCTTCATCCGAAGAAGATCATTTTCAAAAATCTCTGTTTCAAAGTGCAATGCATATTATTCACAACAAGCTTTAGGCTCTAATTTTAAATCCGCATTTGTCAGAACCCGGGTTGCAACCAAAAACACCTATCTATTTTATTTCTCTTATATTTACAAATGCTCAATTTCTCAGTGAAGCAAACCTGGAGGAACAGGTGACGTGMGTTTTCTGTGGGACCTTCGTTAAAAGTTAGCCAGCCTATTTGCGACTAACGATTTGTGGGTTTTTCATAGTTCAGCAGCTAACATGCTAGTGTGACAGCCAGGAGTTTTGCTAACCARTGGTTGTGCCTGTCTAATAAAACAGAATAATCGTCACCAGCGCAAAGCCAAAGATCATAAATCGCTGAAACTACACTTARATACTCGATTGATTATTATTTAAAACTTAACGAGTTAAATACTTACAAAGCAGCCTGGCAAATAACCTGCTGTGAGACATTTTCGGTCATTCACCAATGACACCACAGGGTGAGGGCCTTACACGTATAATTTAGCTGACTTTGGATATGCCTGTAAAAAAAGACTTGTAAATTATTTCGAAACGAGTCTTTCTTTTATTAAGAAAAAATAAGAAATATTTAATTTCTTTGTAAATTTTATAACTGTGTAATTTTTGAAACAATATATTTATATACCCCCATTCTACAGGATTTTGTTTTGTTTTGTTGTTTTTTATAAGGCGGTACAATTTGCGTCCTTAACAGAAATGCATTCTGGTTATTGAAGTTTTCAAAATTATATGAAAGCACATCAATCAGCACTAGAGGGCGCCACAATCTCATGAATAGGGTTCGTGGGGGGTTCAGTAAAAACTTCCTACTATCTCCTAAATAGATAAAAAAAAATAATAAACAAACAAATAACACAATTTGGAGGAAAAAAATAGGTATTTTTGTTCTAGATCTGCAGCAACCACAGGGCAACATATTTCATAGTAAATTCAAGGTTATTTGTTATAATTAACAATATTTTACAGCTAAAATATATATTTAAAAATGCGTTGCACACATACTAATATTCCCTAGAATTAAAATAATATATAAAATCCTAAACTTGACTTTTATGTATAAACCAGCAGTCCAGGCACATAGGGATTCTTGTGCAGAGCACTCTCAGAGTCAACTGAGAATAGTCAGTAGTCAGATGTGATATTACACTGGCAGAAATTGGTGGTTTGAATGCAAATATATATTTCTCAGCTGATATTGACTTTCAACACTGTGGTTATTCCAGATCACCGGGCCTAACACACATTTTCACTTTTYATTCTTGTGAAAGACAAAAAATAAACTTTAATCCATGCAAAAAGTTCTCAGCACTGATATTTGTAAAACAAATCTTGTTCAACAAGTAATACTGCTCTGACAAAGAATCGGTCAACAAGCTCATCATTCTTAGAGGTATACAAATTCACTGGAGAAATGTAACTGTACTTGTATGCCAACATCAATAAAATTTTTATCTGAACAGCAAACAGGTACTCTAGGAGTTGCTCAGTCAGTAAGTGAAAGCATAATTATGAGTATACTTGGAGTTGAAGCATGTTCAACTTCTAGTATGTTTCAATGAAGTATCACCTGCTATGCACCTGCTGTTAGTGTGAGTTTATGTCAGTGTCAAAAAAGTACTAAAAATGTGACTTTGTTCAGTGACAGAGTTGTTTCTGCCGTTTATTCCCCAATTTATTTATTTATTTATTTATTTAATCCAGATGTAGGTTACAGCTTTGCTTTTTTTGAACGACTCCTGTCAGGAGGCCTGAATTCGAGTTGTCCAATCAGGAAGCACCAACTCCTCCGACGCTGATTGGTCGCCACTTTGGTCACATGTTACTCTTACGCTAATTCAAAGAGTCATTTACGCTTACCTTCGCTTGGTCCTCACGTTTTACTTGAGAGTTTTACGTACCGGCGCCAAGCTGCGGTCAGAAAAGAGCGCAGCGACATAAACGAACCACGGGAAGCATTCAAGTCATACACGAAAAAAAAAAAAAAAAAAAAAAAAAAAAGAAAAAGAAACCCGGCCCTGCCGAGCAACTCAAGATGGTTTTTGAAACTATCTCGAAGATAATTAAAGTCCAGCTTCCGGCCTACCTCAAGAGGCTGCCGCTTCCGGAAACCATCGGCGGATTCGCAAGGTTAACAGGTAATTCACAACAACTGTGAACAAATGAGTTGTGAACTCATCAGAGTCCTCAGCTGCTAGCACAGAGAACTGAATTTGCTTTTAGCTAGCATCAAAATAAACCATTATTTAAACATTTTCAATAGGCAAAATCTAAACTTGTGTATGGAAGGACTTCTGGATCTAAATGTATATCACAGGTTTCTATGTCTCGGGGCTAAGCAACTAAAAGCACATCACGTTTTACATTAAACAGTATAAGGGCATTTAGAGGTATCACACCGTGCACATTTGCATCCCTGATTATTTATTTTGTTGGTAAAATGCATGGGGAAAAGGAACATTTTCTTGCAAGTTAACATCTAGCTGTAACATTTAGAAGTGTTCAGAGAAAGGCTGCAAAACTCTGTATTTATCGCACAGTTCGCACAACAGCACACTCTACCAGTTGTCTATGTTCTGAAGGCCAAACATAACTTCTTCAGAGCTTTGGACATTTTACCACATTATGTTATAATTCAGCTCAAGGCTTGTACAAGACTTAGACTTTTTGGTTGCAATGTACCTATTTACAGCATGAACCGCGGATGTTGTGCTGTCTTATGAAATTCAAATGACCCATGAACAAAAAAAAATGGTCAAAACAAAACACCAAATAAAGCCAAGCATTCTGTAAATATTGTCTACCACATTTCATACTTAGTTTTAAATTGTGATCAAATTAATATGCCAGAGTTGTAGCAATTTGGTCATGGTTCGTAAGTGCCTTTCTGAGAAGAGTGTGTTGAGGGTGACTCCCAGCAACTACAAATTCTAGCTTAATATCTGTAAAATGGACCACATTGTAGCCATCTTTGTGTTTGCCAAGGTCGCTTAGCAGTGGCGGCTTGAGTAGGATGACGCCAAAAGTTAATTAGTTTCAGATGTACCGGTACATGCAAAACGATTACTTACCAAAAGTTTCATTCGAAGCTGTCCTGTTGTTCATGAGACATTTTACCAGGGCTGCAGACAAACAAACAGGCTTTTAACCTTTGGTGTAGGTGTTTTTAGAAGCACASTGGAGCCACATGTCCGTTGTGATGCTATATAACTTTGCATGTATATGGACCACAGTAAAATTTTACAGTTGTGGCTAATCCTCACTTTTCCCCTCACATTGAATGAAGAACTCTCAAGCGAAGTTTCTGGGCCTCATCTGTTCCTGGTATCTTACTGAGACATATTACTGAGACATATTACTGAGACATATTACTGAGACATATTACTGAGACATATTCAGGTACAAGATGCAGGTCAGAAGTGAAACAGTTCTCTGTATCTTGTTACATCWTTATATAATGTGTTTAGGTTAACTGATAGGTAAGTTTATTCAAATTTATTCCAAAAGAGGGTTTCATTTCTATTAGAAAGTTGGAGTTTCTTAGTTTTAAGTCAGGGGGGAAAAAAATCATCCGAAAGGCCCACTGAAATTTAAATTGCGATTTGGAAAGTCTGAGATTCCTGCCAAACCTMGACCTCAGAATCCAGTATGGCTGACTTGTGCATGAAATGTGGTGATAGCTGCAGTCATAAATGGTTCATTTTTCACTTTTTTACAGTTTGTGTCTCATTAAAGTCACAAAGTACTGCAGTGAAAGTGCAGTGTGAGCACAGAGCTGAATGACTTTGCTGAAAWCTGCCGAAGAAACTGAAGTCGAGTTGTTAAAGCTAAAAGAAGCTGAACACTAAATACAGCTTCAAAACTCTTGCATCATCACTCCTAGATCCAAACTTCAAGGTTAATAGAATGCTGCATAATTACAGAAAAGTAAAAMTATAAAAATAAAAATGTGGGTCCAGCAGATGGTTTTTACGAAAGGGTCACTTCAGATCTTTTGATGTGCTGTTCTGTGGAAAGGTTATGAACAATAAATGTCTTGCCTTTTGTGGCTAGCTATTAGGGTTGGGCAATATTGGCAAAAAAATTAATCACGATTAATTGTGGTATTTAGCCGATAACGATTAATTTGACAATTAATCCCCTGTAGTCCCTGGACACCCTTATGTCCTGGTCACATGACCAATTTAGTGGGAAAGATTTGCTCTTCGTAAAAAACCTGTTCCAAATTGGGTCAAAATTACAGACTTCAGGCTGTACATCAAACTATAAATTGTGTTGATAGATAAATAAATTACAGAACTTTTTTTTTACGTTCATCATATCTGAAGCAGAGAGGAGCACCGAGCGGACTCTGCCTCGTGGCATTAATCGTATTAATCGTCAAGTGCCAAAAAGTAATCGATTAATGTTTTTCTCACGATTAATTACACACGATATGATTATGCCCAACCCTACTAGCTATTCAAACAAATTCAGTCCTGGAAAAGAAAATTCTGACATGATTTATTGCCAAGAGCAAAGTGAAGTACTAATATTTTTAAAGGGGCAATATTATGTGTATATATAATATATATACACATAATTGTATAGAATAATATTACGCTCGCGGGGTGTGTGGGGTGGGGGCGCTCTGCCATGAGGAAGCTTGGCTTAAAGACACGTCCCAGGGGCGTTCCTGGTACCAAAAGGCGTTTCTGGTCCCCACCTGTC